CAAAGCAATAGTGACACGTAGTGAAAATATTTTTTACTCCAATAAGTGTGCAGCGCCATTCCTGTCAGATCCAATATAGACGGCACAGCATTGCTTTTTAATCTCGGTCTCTCTGCAAATCCAGCGTCGACCTGTGTCTTGTTTACAGAGGAATCTGCGGTGAAATGAAGCAAACAACTCTCAATGACTCTCTTCATTAAAAATAAAGTTCAACCACGCATTCCTAATATTTGAATCCGAAGGAAGGTTATGCAGCGACTGTGTTCTTCCACAACCAGCCACTGCATAATATTTTGCGATCTTCAACGGCATGTCAAGTCAAGTCACCTTTATTTGTATAGCGCTTTATACAATGCTAGTTGTGTCAAAGCAGCTTTACAGGTATTATTTTCTAGGTATTATCAAATGGCCAGAGTTTTGAGATCGCAGCGGATGTAAAGGACAATAATGCGATATGAGCTCGCTCAAGTACTGAGGAGCTAAACCATTCAGGGCTTTATAAGTAATTAGCAAGATAAAAAATGTATACAATGTTCAATAGGGAACCAGTGCAGAGTTGACAGAACCGGGCTAATATGGTCATATACTTCTTGGTTCTTGTAAGAACTCACACGCAGAGCAACCACCCAATAAAGCATTACAATAATCTAACCTTGAGGTCATGAATGCATGAATTAATTGTAATGTCTTGATTACTTAATTTTAGGGAATTAATTATTATTAATTCATTCAGGGTTAGAAATGACTCGGATCTGAAAATTCGAAGTCCACCTGATTAGAACTGATTTCAAATTTCAATAGTTTACACCTTATCAACGGTCGTCCAGCGAGCCGTTAATGTCCGTGTATCTTAATCTGACTGTGTATTTTCCTTGGCCATAGGATAATACGTTCTTTGATAAGTAAGCTACAAGCTAGGTAACGTGATCTTTGGCAAGGGTTCACTTTAAAATTATACGACACCAGACAATACTTCTTTACAAATGAAAACGAATTTATTGACTATTCTAGATTACATTAAAACTAAACTAAAACAAACATACACACATATACAGTTCAGAAGTGAGTTAACGGAGTTGCATGACGTTTCAAAGTTCTAACTCGTTTTCACGAGTGGTTTTAAATTCAGCCTGAGAGAATTCACAAAGCAGACATTTTCTTATCTTTACTGCTTAACTCAATTCACCAGTTCAACACCGATTTCAGCAGCTGTAAGATTTGCTTGTACTTGCGTTTTGCTGAATTCTGAGTTTTTCCTCGTGGCTACTGGAGGGGATTCCGTGGCTGATTGGCTGTTGATCTGGCGCCGGAATGACGTTTGGATGACGTCCTTTTGGGGAAGCCCTCGTTGGATTGGTTGCTTGCCGGGTTACGGAAGAGCCTCTGGTTCTTCTGAGAGAGAGTCTGCTTTAGCAAGACTTTGCGTTCTGCAGAGTTACGAAGCTTCAACTGAAGTGTTTGAGTTCTTAGATGGTCTCGCTGTGCGATGTTACGGC